AGCCTGACGTACATAGAATGCATTTGATGTTGAACCCTTATCAGCGAAATTGATAAATTACGAACCCAGTTTACATCGGAGGCTACACACGCTATACGTTGTATACAGTATTGAGACAGGATTTTCTTTCATAATCTAACTGCATTCAGGTAATTCCTTGAAGATCAAGAATGATTATTTTATATTCAAATTCAAATAGATTCAAATAATAATTCACTACCATATTCATTTGACTTTTTAGGATAGTGAACTTGACCGATATTTTGCTAACAGGCTCTCTTTGCAAGTGTAAATATTTTCAGAATATAGCTTAGATTAGATTATAATTTTCTCACTCCTATATTTAGTTGTTGGTCAAGAGGTGAAGACATACCATTCCGTAGAAAATCACTACAAAAATACTTATTTACAGCCTACTAGTTGGTTTTATTGCATCGTACTATAAATAAGCATCGTATACTATTTTAATAACTAAATTAGATTATTTAATTAAATACAACTAAATTAATAGTGTCTGGTGGGTGGGCGTTCAAAATTGAAAATAATTACAGATCCTGGATGAATTGTAATCCAGACTTTCTCAAGTTTGCTCAAAGTTAAATCAGTCTTTATTACAATTAATCTAAATTTATCATGGAACAGTGACTTTGAGTAAACTTCAGAGATATTTAAGTAAACTTAAAGAGACAAAATATTTTTACCGCTTGAATAAATCATGTTTGTGTAATTTTTTTACTCATTGATTTATGCAATCTAACAGCTTCTGCATTTTCTTATAAGAAAACAAGAAACATTTACATTGGTATTTTAAATATTTAAAGAAATTCAGATTGTTTTCTTCCGCTATTCCAATGGGAACAGACCTGCATTGAAGAGGTCTTAATAATTAAATCCTTCCGTTTCCCAAGCTACTCTCAGTAGGGCTGTTAGAAGTTTAAGTACTTAAAACCTGTTGATAAAGGAGTTTAAAATATTAAAAGGTTTATTTTCTGATTTATAAATTATACACTATCTTTCAATTTGTATAGTTACATGGTTATTAACATGTTTTAAATCTGTGACTAAAAACTTACATGTTTATTTTGATTCAATTTAAATGTTAACCGGAACAAATATATTTAATTGATAAAATAGAAGAATTACCTTATCCAACCACAGTTGCTGGTATGACAAGTAGTTTCCTTCCTTAGAACGTCAAAAGATTCTTGAAAACACTGTCAGAATCACAATAGTAAAAACTAGTCATGTTGATCAAATTATTAAAATTGAATAAAAAGTGATAAAATGGTTAAAACTACTGTAAAGGCTGGCCAGCACTGTCTTATCACTGTCACTGACTAAATGAAACTGAATCATGAGGTGTCTTCATCTTCTTCACTCCAATGTCACCTGTATTTCAGTTTGTTTTGTTCTTCTTATTTAATTGATACTTCTTTGATGTGTAGCTTGTCAATATATGTATCAAATATAATATTTGACTGGAAGGAAGTCTGATTATTTGAAATGTTGAATGGGTCAAGTTTTTTAGCTTTGTAGATGGTGAATTCTTCTTTAACATCAAGTTTAAAACTTTTTGGTAATAATACTTCAACTATTTCCATGTTCTTATCAATAGATGTGTAGTTGTGTGATCCTGATATTAAATGTTCGGCATAACTGGATAGCTGATGTTGTGATCTTTTAAAAAAAAACAAAGTTTTCGCAGTTATAACTGGAATAGCTGTGTACTTAAAAGGAAGCAAATAAAATGCCTAATCATATTTTTTAAAGGTAAGATTTTAGAGCAGTTTTTGTAGCCATCTGCTAATCTCTAGTATTTTTCTTTAAAAAGTGTCTGTAGGCTTATTTTTAACCTTTTTTCAGGAAAATAATACTTTCTAATTTCTAATCAATTTAAATACCAACTCCGAAGCCTTGGGCTCACCAAAAGCTGTTTATTCTTACATAGAATTTGATGGAGAATATGATGGTAGTGTCAAAATTATAAAAATGTATGAATATACTAAGGGAATTTTAAAATATGCGTAAATGTACAGGTTTTTCTAAAAAAAATCAAAATAATGTTTCTGCAAGTGGGTGCATGGAATATATATATTTTTTAAATTATGAATTTGAGTCACACTTATGTTGCTCTACCACCCGAAAAAGTTGTTAAAGCTAGGTCCAGACCACACCACCCTGTATATTGTATGTCATAGGATCATAGGTTTATATGATAGCCATATTTCAAGTAACTCATAGGGTTAATTTTCTGTGAATGTGACTGTCGTTATTTGTATGTAAATAAAATAGCCTCATATAATTAATTTTTATTTTTTTTACACGTAGATATATGTTTTGCATAGATAATGAAATATATAAGCAGCTATATTGTTAACATTTTAACATTATTCATATCTATTCAATAAAGTAATCCAATGAGAAACTATAGTTTTTAATCAAAGTAGAAATCATTCACATTACCTCATTTTTAATACATAAGGATTATTGTGAAACTACTAACTTCTCAAAACAAAATGTGAGTGGGAGAAGAGATGTAATTAAACAAATAATTGCACTTACAATGTGTTCTGGCTCTCAGAAACATACGAGTTACACAAGCTCGTAATGCAAACCATCTTCTGCGGATGCCTCGAGAAAGACACGTCTGCCAAGTTGGAAACCACTCGTCTGTTACTGAACACATTACGTCGGTTGTGTGAAGACTCAACTGCAATTCCAGCGTTGTTTCGGGTGCTTACTTGCTAATGGCTTTTGAAGAATGCAAATGAAAGGGTTTTGTAGTAGCAATTAAATGTAGTTGTGTTTTAATGTATTTTTATACGTTACATAAAATCAGTTTCTTAAGTTACATCTGTTTAATTGCACCAAATGAATGAATGCTCTTCAAGAAGCTTATTTAATTAATTTCATACTAAAGTATATATCCACCATTTTGGTAAACTGTATTAGAGGGAAATGTGATGAATAAATACAGAATTACATGCAAGGAATGTTAGGAAATATATTTTAAAAGAGTTAAAAATGCTCTGAAATGTTCTTTAACATAGAGCTCTAAAAATATTATATCTAATTAAGAGCTCCCTGAAGTGTTTTCATCTTTTAATGAAGCAGTGCACTTTAAATAATCCCATAAAAGTGTTGTGGACCAACGTAATCCGCTTAGGGTAATGAGCTCAGACTTTTCTTTTGCAATTTTCTAAAATGTTATACGACAATATTTTTACTAGACTTTACAACCTTAGGAAAATGGGTGACTAAGTAGAGTAGTGATTAAAAAATTGTTAAATTTGTAAAAATTGTTTTTAGACTAGGCCTTTAAATAATTTAATATGACTAAGCGAGTTTAAAACCTGTACAACTTATAATTATCTCAAACGCAACAATATGTATTTTATTCACTAGTCACTTGTCAATCTTGTCATGATAAATTCTAAATATTAGAGAACTCGTTTGACACAATGCCAGGATCATTGCAATATTTCCTTACATATTTACAATTTTGATTGCTTATCATAATAATTTTATAAAATGTTTAGGATTCAGCTTAATAAAAATATAGTTTTCAAAATATGTTGTTTGGATCATGTCTTTCTACCTCCCTTCTGCTAGATATGTGAACTAGGTATTGTAGTTTGAAATTATATTTAAAAATTATGAATATTTTTTATTTCATGAAATTGCAGTTGAAGCAAACGCTTTGAGTATTCCAAACACCTTTTCTCCTATCAATATTATTTAAGTAATCACAGTAATTTACAATAGCAATCAAAATATTTGTTTTAAGTAAAAGTTGTTCCTTGTACGAAATAGTTCACAATTTTTTAGTATGAAAGGGTAATGATCAAGGGGAACAATAATAATTTCGCATACTATTCATAAACATTTGATTTATTTCTAAAATTCAATCTCTTTTGTCTTTGTACAGTTTCAACAAAATAAAATTTAATAATTTACAACGCAAAGAAATCCTTTATCGAAATAAAGGAGCCAACCTATTGATGAACGTAGGAAAATATACAAAAGTAAATTTATATACAATAAGAAATTCGTGGTAAAACAGAGAATAAAAAAATAACACATTACAAAAACATACATTGAGAAATCCCTCTGATAGAATAAAACATATATCTAAAATAGGAATAGAAATTTGATATCATATGGAATATTTACCACAGAGAGCTTATTTTAATAAGCAGTGGTTATCACTTTAAGACAGATTTATTAAATCTAAGTAATCTAAATTATTTTCTTGTTCTTTTTCAGTTACGAAAGGAGCTCCCAAAGGCCCTCTGAGGACCCACTCACAGGCACTTTGTATGGGGAGTCAATTTGTCGAAAATAGAAGTAACACACAGATCACAATAACAGAGTTAAACATACAAGTGTTGCTTATTCTTTTCCAGAGAGCCAATAGTATAGACAGCAAAACAACAACATTCGACACACATTTAAATGTAATAATCTCATCAACAATTATTAATAATGTATAAAATATTTCGAGAGTAAAAACTTTTAAATTCAATGCTGAAATGTATTCGCTGTAAAGCTCTGTATTTATCAATTTGTCTCTACACTCGATACAAATATTTCAAAAATTCTAAATGTATGTACAATCAGTGCTTTCTTATGTACAACTAATGCGTACGTTAAAAAATAAAACATCCACACTACATCAGAACATTGAAAACCGTTAAACTCTTAAACATCGACCCTTCAAAATGAACCCCAGCGTCAGTATTGTGATTTATCTAAATAGCGAGTCACAAAAATACATCTTGAAAATACTCGAAATAAATAAATTTGAAAAATATATTTATAGTTACAATTTATTTCACACTTGGTTTTCGAACTAAGAATAAAAAAGTCTTCCTAACTCTAATTTGCACCTCACTTAAACGAAAACAACTATCGAATGTCATGGAAAAGACTTTTGTAACTCTGACATCACAAAAAGAGTATCATCTAGAACACCGCTTTATATGGAAAACATAGAAAGCTATAGGAAAATATATAATGTCCTTTATTAACATGTTTATCTAGTAGAATTAAAATATTTTTGTCATGTGACCGTCCGACGACGATCGGTTGTTTGTTCATGTTGTTCAGAGAAAAGAATAAGCAACGGGGCGACGGTTGACTGTTTGTTACGTTTTTGTGAACAGAACTTCGTCGTCCGAGGCGAACTCCCTCGTCACTTCGGGAGGTGTGGAGGTATATCTGTGCAGAGGCACCTTGCTGTAGCCTAGCCTCTGACTGTTGCGAGACCTCACCTGTGATAAGACATTGGAGGTAAATAAAGCTACTTATACCATTGAAACCATAGATAATTAGTTTAACATGTCAAAACGACAATACTTTATTGTAAAGTTTTACACCATAATATTTCTTTTGGGTTGGTTCCATTTATTTTCCAAATAAATTAAGAAACTAATAAAAGGATTACAAAAAGATTAGCAGCAAAAAGCACTAGGCCCACCAAAAATGTTAATGTTCTTTGCAAATAATATCTTGATCTAAAATATAGTTTAAAGGTGTAAATGAAAAAAAACTATTGAATAAAAAAGAGGTTTAGCAGCAGGATATTTTGTATGAATTTAAATTCTAACAATGTAAAGTACAATTTTATAGGCCAAAGTCTGGTAAAAATAATTTTAACATCTTCCCTAATTCAAACTTTGAAGTTTGAAAATACTGTCAGTGACAATAAAATATTCTAATCGCTGCCCTATAGTGTTAACTTTTCATCTTTCTGGTTTTGGGAACTTAGATAACCCTGCCCCATTTAATCAATCTGCAATCTCAACAATTTTAGACACGTAGGACTTTGGTCCCCAAGGTTCCTTGTTCGAATCACACCAATCAATCGGTTTTATCTAATTGTAATGCTGCAATGCCCTAGATCTAGCCTGAAGTCGTATTAAAGGTTCCGGACTAGAGCCTACGTTCAAGAATTGAAGGTAGAACATAAAATAAAATTACCTGTAGGATGACGAAGACGAGGGTGAACACCACCACGACGGCCACACAGATGCTGACGGCCACCGCTGTGATGGGTAGAAACGCGGAGTATCTCTGCGCTGCTTGCAGCCGCATAGCTTCCAGCTGCTCTGTGTTGGCACGCTCCGCCTGCTCCGACGTGATCCTCCGCTTGCCAGCCGGCGACGCGTTGTGACACTCTCCTGGAGAAAATAATCAAGAAACTTGTAACACTTTGTCAATATTTTATTTACTAGGGGAATTAATGATGCAGAACTTTTATGTTTTCATATCAGTTCAGGCAAGAAACCGGTTCTTATAGTGTTGATAGTTACATTGATAACACACTGTTCCAGATTTTGATGGATCCATTCTTGCTAATTGCACTGATATACTAGATCCTTACATTTTTAGGAAGAACTCATTAAACATCTTATACAAAAAAAAACAAAATTTTTTTTTGGGATAATCTTTTTTTAGGTATACCAGTTCTTTAATTTTGTAAGGATTTAATTGTTCCCATCATCAATAATACAATAATAGGGTTTTACATTTAAACCGGTTCTTTACTTTGGTAAATAATAAACTGGTTGTCTATTTAAGTAAGGATAAACCGGTTCTTTACTTTTATGAACAGCGTTCCTGGACTGAAAAAACCCTGGGACTTGCTGTCCTTGATCATTGTACTTCAATAAATGATCCTGCTAAAGAACAAGCTTATTTTAGTCAGTGACACTTTCATCTCTTCCTTCCTTCATCTGCACTGTGATGTGTCAGGGTTGTACAAATACAATCTAATCCATGCTAAGATATCAATTGCTCACCGGTGTCCTTATCACAGGAGCAGCAGTCCTGCGTGGTCGTCTCTGTGCAGCAAGGTACGCACTGGTTGTTGAGAGTGTCCAGATGTAAGGGGTAGGTACAGGAGGTGCAACTGAACGGACCGGGTCCACTGCACGAACGACACGCGGCGTGACAAGGCTTGCACATCTGTGTGGGAGGGTCGTAATACTGCGAGCTGAGACACTCCATACACAGTCCTCCGTCCAACATGGAGTGAGGCGGGCAGGACGTGCACTCTAGCGGACCTTCACCTGCAACAGATAGATACATAGACATGTATCAATATTTGCTGGCTACTGAATACTTTTACTACGATTTATTCTCTTGAAACTGAGCTTAATACTAGGAAAAGATGAAACAGGATTAAAAAATTACGAAAAGAATCCCTTAAGATCAAGACACATTTGCGAAAGCAAAATAATAAGAAGTACTGGTTTCGACATCCAATGAGATTAATCAAACAACCTAAACGATATGGTATGTCTCCTAGCTGGAGAGAAAAGCTCTGTAAAAATTATGTTTGGAAAAACATGACCAAGATTATGGCATGAGTAGCAAAACTCACTGGAGAGAGCTCATTGATGAGTCCAAGCCTAAATAAAATAAGCCAATAAGTAAGCTGGATCGCTAAGTAATAAGTAAATACTTATTTAAGTTTACAGTTTCAAATCACATTTTCAACCATTACTCTTTATTTTTCTCTTTTCTATTTTTATAAAAGAGATAATTTTAATATGAGAGAGAAAGGAGATAAGTGAGGGCAATGACAGAATCAAAAGAGCACTGAACTTTTGTTTGTATGATAAAAATAAACAAAAATGCTGTAAGCTTTTGAGAGAGAAGAGACAAGGAATGGACAGTAACATAAGATAAGAGCTGCCTGCAAAGTGTCATGTGTCTCCTGGGAAGAGGATAGAATAGTCAAGTGGCGGGGAGGGGGTGATGGGAGGGATAAGTTTATCGCAAACAAAGGCGGTCAAGTTGTTCTTCATTCTGACACTTTCCCCCCTCAATTAAATACCATGAAATATTCTACTGAGGTCTTGTGGTAAATTTTTACCACTCATAGAGCAAACATCTAATGACACATAATTTAATAAAAGTACTATAGGCCTACCCCCAAATAAAATGAAAGAAATAAAAGATTTTATATTATTTTACAAAACTAATATTACGTTCAAACTAAAGTGTTACAACTAGAAACTATTGTTTTCACCAAAATAGTTGCTCAATCATGTTTACCAACTTTGGTTTAGTTACAAAATCCACCCCTATTTTTTTATTAATCAATGAATACTTTTTTGTTGTACAGTAAAATAATTTGCATCTATAGATTAATTACCATATCCATACAAGAAATTTAATTAAGGTCCATATAAGGTTAATTAATATTATTTACTGATATAGAACTACACTTTGAGCTTAACAGTTAAACATTACAAAACGACACGACTAAATGGATAAAGTTATATTACAAATACTACTTATCTTCTGTAAAATATTTTTACCTTTGCAAGTCCGACAGTAGTGATGGCACTTCTGGCAGCCGTAGTTGCTCATGAAGAACCCTTCCGGACACTCAGGGTGACACTCGCCACCGGCCAGCTGCCAGCCGAGGGGACAAGAGACGCACTGGTCGCGACGGGGACCCGAACACGTCATACAGCTCAGGTAGCACTTGGCGCATACGCCGAGGTCGCTGTAGTAACCCTGAGCGCACGTCGCTCTACACTCTCCGCTCTGCAGCTGCAGGCCGGGCTTGCAGGTGGTGCAGTTGATGCGACTGACACACTGACTACAAGTGTGGAGACACTGCACACACTGGCTCTGCTCCGGGTAGTAGCCCGCCGAGCAGCCCCCGACACACGACGACCGCTCCAGCAGCAGCTGGCCTGAACAGCTGAGACAGTTGTTGGAAGCTGCGCCGTGACAACTATCACAACTGTCGTGGCAACTCTCACAGTGAGTGCCGGAGTAGAATTGGCCTGTGGGACAATAAATTTTGTGAGGACCTATTCAGTTATAAATATTCCAAGGATTATCAATATTGTTTGAAACCGTTTATACAAACAACTTTATGACAACTTTTGACCAAACAGTTTATTTAATGTAAAATATACTAGCTAGCTAACTACAACTAGCTAGTAATAAAAGTAAACCTAATACATAAAATACAAAAAAAGGTTTAAATTAAAAACAAAGGTGTATGAGGAGATAAATTTTTAGATTTATATTTAGATACTATAAAACTATATTTCTAAAAGTGTACCTAGTTGAGGAAAATATTTGCAATATTAATGCTACATTTAATCAATGAAAACATAAAAAACCCTCACAGATAAAATTATTGTCTTCAAACGTATTTACAAAAATAAATTTAGAACTTTTTACACTAGAAATTTAAAGCAACATTTTTGATAAATCAACAACTATTCATTTGGTGGTCGAGATGTTCTGAAAAATGTAATCTAAGATGAAAGATTTATACATCTTCAATATTCTCTTATGAAGATTTTCCAACCAGTTCCATGTGTGAATAAATCCAATGGCTAAAACACAGTAATCAGAAAGTTCTGCTGTTTTTTCTATCTGATTTTAGAACTTCTAGATTGAAACACGTACTATATTACCAATTGAAAAACTCCATAACTGGTTATTTTTAGAACTTGTTGCAAAAACTCTATCCCTGTTTTATCCTCTTAAAAAACAGTTGCAAACTCATTGAATGAAGAGATTTGCAACCTATTTTGTTTGAAAAAAAAACTAGTTTAAAAACCCTTTGCTTCTGTCTCTCCCATGTTTCTTAGAAACTGTATTTGCAATTCCAGTTTCTCACTCCTTTTTGATTGATCATAGAACTTGTGACAAAACTCTAAAAATCTAATATTTTTGTTCTCTAAGAACCGGTTTCCAAATATCTACAACCGGTTTGCAAAATTCTACAACCGGTTTGCAAAACCTTACAACCAGTTTTATATGCAATTTTAATACTAAAACACACTACAATTCCACTTACTTGGCCCGCACTGACTGCTGCCCTCCAACACACACTTCCCCTTCTTGTTGAGAGTGTATCCGACCTCGCAAGACAGACAAGTGGCGGAGTTGCAGGTGGAGCAGCCTGTCGGACACTTCATACACTCCTTGCGCTTCTTGTCGGTGAAGTATCCGTCGGGGCACACCGAGTAGCAGATGCCACCGAGGGAGAGACGACCAGAGCGGCAAGTGATACACTCCGAATCACTCGGACCTCGACACGTCTCACAAGTAGAGTGACACGGCATACATCTGTATGTTAAGAGTGAGTTAAAAATCTAAGTCTCTTAGAACAATATTTTTTGGTTGAGGAACAATAAGTTTGAAGCTCAAAATAGCTAAGTAAGATGTCAGTTGTATTGTTTGGTAGTGAAATAAATCCTTCATTGCACTTCTAATTTTCTTTTATAATGAGTAAATGTAAAATTCTCAATTTTTTTTACTTTATATACACAACTCACATACTTTTTAACAACTTTTTTTTATTAATATTAACCATAAGTTTAGTCTATTTCAATTATAAATAAATAGTTTAATCATTTTACAGTTCACCATAAGACTTAATTCTCTCTAATAATCAATCCAAACACTACTTCACCTGTAGTCATCTGTCTCGAAGGTGTACATGGGACATGCGGCGTAACACTTGTTCTCAAACATGACCAGATGGTGCTCACAACTGGTGCAATGGTCTGGCCGGTCTTGACAACTGGCGCAGTTGGCCTCACAAGGAACACAGGTTCCTTCGTCACTGTCTGTCAAACACAAATGATCCTTTGTTAATTTCCACAGTAATAGCCTACAATTTTTTTTATTCTGAGAGATTTAGAAATACTTCCTACTATGTAATATAATAATTCTAAAAAATGATGTTCATACTTTCAATGTAGCCTTCAGGGCACTGGCGCAGGCACACCGCAAGATCGGTGACTCTGAAGTGAGCCGGCGCACAGGTGAGGCAAGAGTCCTGGCCTGGCCCGGCGCAAGTCTCGCAACTTTCATGGCATGGCCAGCACACAGCGGCTTGGTTAGGGTAACTACGGGGCGGACATCTTGAAACACAAGTGCTGGAAAATATTCAATACTAAAATTACAAAAATTCAAATATTTTTTAGATCTATCAACTGGAACACTAGGCCTACATGTACATACACCCTTCATTCACTACTACTTACACACAACTTAGTGCTGCTAAAAATTCAAAAATACAACTATTTTGTTGGTAAATATTAAGTGGTTTGCCTTGACTAATTGGTTAAACCTTTTTACTTGGAAAATCACTATGTTTTATTTTATTTTATTTTTCCTTATTTTATTTTATTTTTCCTATCTTGGCAACAACCCACAACCTGTTAGAATGTAATATTGAATCATTATGCCTGTTTCATTATTGCTTTGCTTGTTAGCTGTTGATTCTATAAATAATAAAATATTTCTTAAGGACCAATTTTGACACACCTTTCACATCATGGAAACTAGCAATAATATTTTAGTTTACCAACTACTAAAAAAAACATATTTGACTGGACAATACAAAATAATAAATTAAGATGGCAGTTTCTGTTTAGTGAAGGTAGCATATTAATTGAGACTCACTTGTCCAGTTTATAGTGTTGACAAGCCACACACTGCGTGGGTCCCTTGCCATAACATCCCTGCGAATCACACTCCGGGTCGCAAGTGTGTAGAATCTTGCGACCTTCCATTGCACCACCATCTTCAAACTCTGGGGGCTTGTTTCCATTCATAGTAGCAATTGATGCCTGCAGAAAGATGTAATAAATTATTTTAAAATATAATAGTTTAAAAAGCTTACATAACTCTAGTAATAAAGATTATTTACATAAAGTCGATTGGGGTTATAAAAAATTTGATTCTTGAACGGATGCTTAAACCGGTGTTTTAGATTAAAACCATATGTTACAACAGAGAACACTGTATAATCTTTGTCAACAGACAGTATGCGAGGGTTGAGATTTGCACGGTCCTGTGCTCTGCACACACACCTGTTCCTTCAAAATTAACTTGGCTAATATTCATCTCCGAGTTTGTTCAACTCTACAATACAAGTGGAGGGTTCACTATTCATCGCAAGCTGTGTAATGTCACTTGTATTTCATTAGTAATACCATTGATTTATGGTGTCTGTATGAAAATAAAATTGTAAATCAATTAAATTGTTAAAAAGAAATTTAACTGTTATAAGTTTAACAGTCCACTTTATTAAATTAATATAATATTTTGTATAGCTTATCAATAACATTTAAGAGAATAGCACCATTGACTATACATAGAATCTGTGTATAAGTCAATGATAGCACCCTTTCTTTTTGCAGACAATTATTTTACTAAACATTGACAATTTTTGACATTAGACTTAATAACTGTTTATATAATGTGCATTTTTTTATAAATATAAAAATAGGTAATAAGTTTAGGCACCCTTATTTGTTTTAATTTTCTGTTTATATTAGAATTAATTCATCAATTAATTCATCCATAGTATTCACAAAAACCATTTTATCAGTGTTGATTTAGGTTTAAATTATTTGAACTCTAAGGTATATACAAAATTATAAAATATTGATTGTCAGATGTCTTCAAACTTACTACTACTTTATATTACTGTGTATATATAAGTCTAAAAACTATTAAAATTGAGTACAATAGGAAAAAATGTATTATAATTCCTAAAAAGTAAACTCTTAATACTTTTATGCATTCAAATAGGAAATAAGAGGTAAGATTATCTAGGGGGGGGCAATAAAATAATAGCTACCTCAGGTTCACTGCCAGCCACACTGAATATGTTGGGCAGGTTTGAGAAGGAGCTGAAAATGTCCCCACCGCCGTAGATGTTGGCTGGCGCAGACGATGGAAACGACGCCGCAAATGTCTCACTGGCGTGCGCCAACGGAGACCCCTGACTAGACCTAAGGCGGATAGGGTTGACAGCTGTTCCATAGAAGATCAGTTGCCACTTCCTCAAAATTCCTGAGAAAATTATGGATGTATTAAAAGGATTAAAACATAGTTTAAAAAAAAAGAAGAAAAAACAAGAATACTTAGATATAGCCTACTTAGAAGATTACTTTTTATATATACTTAATCCTACACAACAATATTCATCAGTGTAACAAAGTTAGAAGAAGATGGGAGGAGGGGATTTTGACTGTGAATACGATGCAGTATTTTATTGCTTTCATAATTTAACTTAAGTGTTTTGCAATGTTAAACATATCTTTAGCAACTACTTGAATAACTTCCAGAAGGAAACCATCAATGATCATGGTGGACCTTATAGCATCGCATAATTATTGTAAGGGGGTTGGTCCAAGAGTTGCATGAATATTACAGGGTTTGGAAAGGGGTTGAAAAACACAGAATTCATAGAAAACTGTCTATAATTGTAAGAAGTCAAACATTTGCAATAATAAAATAGCAAAAAATTATATTTACCATTGCATTTTTTTTCATCTACAATATAAAAAATCCAGCGATAAACTGATTAAGTATTGACTATAATATTTATGTCACCATCTATCTAGAATACAGCAATTACAATAAAACATAACGCACCTGGCTGGTTGACATGTCTGTTCCCAGCATTGATGATCTGCAAAGTCCACCTCCCCTCCACTTTCTCTCCCCAGAAATGGACGCTGAGGAAAGGCCAGTCGTCGAAGTTGGAACTGACGACGTCCCTCGGCCTTTCAAACAGCAGAGTTGACGTGGTGCCCATGGGTGAGGTCAACAGCAACCTGAGGTTACCTCGGGGGAAGAACCTCAGCGTGATCTTGCACTGGACGTGCTCCAAAAACCTAACCTCATTGAGAGTACCGATACAAGCGTTGACGTCCATGGACACTGTCAGTGCGCTGCCGTACGACGGTTCTATTTGTCTGTGAAAACATTTTAGATTTGATGTTAGTATGAATTAATAGAGGTTAAAATGTAATTTTTTGATGTTAAGCTGCTGTATGATGGTTTTGTCTATGAAAACATATTATATTTTAAATAACTATTAATGTAGATTTACAACAAAACTTTATTTATACATTTCAAACAATTCAACATATGACTATGATTTTCAATCAAATATAAATGTTTAAAAAATAAAATGAAAGCTCAATAGAGCAATGGGGGAATTGCGGCACCATCTTCAAATTGAATACTACGAATTTTTCGTCTAGTTCCCCGTAGCCTAAGCGAAACCGCTCGAATGATGGAAAGCTGGCTTTGGATCCTCAACCATCCGATAATTTGGGAGTATGGTTTTCTCCATTTTAAAGCCAGGGCTTCGCTTGTTCTCCTCTGAAACGCTTCATATTCTTTGTGGGGGACTCCTTCCGTGGAACATATTAATGGTGTGAAGCTTCCTCTGATGTCTTCGGCTGCTTTGTCATATTTATTGTGTTTCTGAACAGCATGGTTTCGAGATATTGTTCCCCATTCTTGGTTGGCGTAAGAGGGAGCGTCAGCTTCTCTCATAATAGGCTCGACTTCAACCCCTTTCCAGGCCATATTTGCTATCGCAGCACAGTGGTCTCGATGTTGATCATGCCCATGTTTGATCAATCCTCCTTTTTTACAATTTAAAGCATGGGTAAGATTCATAGGTTGATCACAACCATCACATCGTACTGGTAAATTTCTTAGTGTGCGGCCATAGCGAATTGACAAAGCATCTCTGAATTGATCCGGGGACAAATCCGTATGATCAGATGCACATGGTGTCACAGTTAACCATTGGCTCGTATTCCCTGCTACAATTCTAATTATTGGCTTCTTTTGAGTTTCAGGAAGTAATTCCATAATTCGTTCATTATTTGCTTTAGCCAACGTGTCTTTTTCTAGTTTTCTCTTCTTTTTTACATCTTGTAGTGTTGATACATGATCATTAATCTTTAATGGTTGTCCATTTTTAATGGCTAATATTAATTTTTCTGTGCATTGTTTTGATGTTTTAAATGAAATACCATCGTTCTTTGTCGGGTCCTGAATATTTAAGCCTCCAAAACGAGTAGGGAGAGAGAACAAGTCATGTTCAAGTTCAGAAATCTCTTGTTCGAAAAGGTTGGGAGTGAAATGGCGATGTATGGCAGTTTTTAAGTCTTCGTATTCTTCACTAAATCCCTCTGTTACTCTTTGGAGAAATGCCCATTCATTTTGTAATGACTTAGTAAAGGCAGTATACGCTGCTTGAGGACTTTTATGTGCAGCTATGCCAAATTTCTTTATACAATCAACCCATTTTTTTACCTTTTCTTCCACGAATTCCTTCTTTTCTTCTGAGCTACCAATAATACCCCCTAAAAACCTGTACGATGTTACAATTTTCACTTTCAGCATGTAGATTTACAAGGGTTATAATGCCATTATGTATAGCTAGAGTACAATGGTTCAATTTGTCTGCAGGAAACACATTACATTTTACACTAGATACTTTTCACATGGTGTGTGAAAAGTCTGTTTACATTATCAATTGAGTGTGAAGTAAATGTTTACCTTTCCTCATTGATCTCTTGAGACTTGCAGATATGTTGGGACGGAACTGTGGTCCATTGCTCAGCCAATGTGACTAAAGCTCCTCCATCCATCAGGCCATAGCCGAACTTGTGACTCACTGTAACAAACGGTGTATAATTTTACATAAGATTCAATTACAAGACACTAAACTCATTTTAATATTTTATCTTAAAAACAAAGAAAGGGATTGAAACAAAAGAGGTATTATCTGAGGAACAGTCTGTTTTTTTTCTTCTAATACCGGTAAGTGTACATGTTTACTATTGCTAATTGAAAAAGAAACATAATTTTTGTTATTCCCCGTTAATAATATATAAAGCTTACAACATAAAAATACAAATCTAACCAAGTTGTGAGATTGTAAGACATAAAACTAGTCTCAGAGTTAATTGTGATACATTAGATAAAAAATACTAGAAAAATACAAATATTCTTATATTAATCTGGAAATATATTGCAGATATCTGGTTTTATTTTTATTATTATATTCATAAATTTTTACTGTTAGATTTGAGGTGTTCCTAAAACAAACAATGCAACATAATTTACAGTTTTAAAGTTCTTCGCATAATAATTCAACCATTCAAAAGATCAGTGTCTCACCTTTCCTCTTGACTCCGTTGACGATCCATCCGCTCTCCTTCTCCAGAGGTCCAGGTTTGGAGGTGAGCACCACCAGGTACTGCATGTCTCTCCAGGTCAGACTAGGGTTGGCCTCCAGGGCTAGAGCACACATCCCAGCAGCCAGCGGGGCAGATGCTGATGTACCTGGTGTAGTTATGCAACATGTGATATAGTACCATATATAATAGTTTAACAAATATTTAAGTTGAAGAAAGTCTTATTTCTATTATTTGATGCTAACTTTGAAACAGGTGTAGAATCAAACAAATTAAATAAACTGTGGCCTGCATAATGGAACCTCAGGTCCTAAGCCATTGGCCAGTCTACAGGTAGACATGGAGTTGGGAGACAGGTTCCATCATACAGACTATAATAATCTGTATACAATTTTGTATGGTATTTGTTCCTTTAAAAATCTTAAATCATTACATAAATAAAACAATTTTTATATATATTTTGAATTATATAAACTGTTCTGATTTAATTTTTTTGATTGGAATAAGTGAATAAAATAAATCTACGTTTATTATTTAAAAAAATATTTGTCTGCTGTTTAAAATATTTAAACAGATAGTTAAAAGAATGCGTACACTATGTAGGAATCATAAGAACAATTATAAAATATAAAAGAATGATAAGATAATAGAGCAAACAAATAAACAATATTATAAAAATAACAGATTAGAAACATAAAACAAAACTGAAGCGCAACTTGAAGTAATATATTTGAACTATTTACTGTATTTTGCTTTGCCTTTGATAAATTTCAACCAAAGAGAAGACTGGTCGTGGTTTTCGTGTTGGTAACCTTATATTTGTGTTTAGTTATACCAACCAGTGTGTTCCACAGTGCAGATGTGGTCGGGCCGCAGTTTGCCGTCCATATCCACAGAGGCGATGCTCTTGTCGTGTCCCGGAGTACCGGAGCTGTATGTTGTGGCCAACGTGGACGAACATTCCTCCAAATACCACGGCTTGAACCTTCAATTACCAGATAGAATTACACTTGGTAACAAGGCAGATAGGAGAATCAAATGAATGTTCAATGTGAGTTTTCAAGGAAATTTGTGGTTACACTAAGCGGTTTTGCTACTGTATCAAGGCTAATAAACCTCCTGGATAAAAGAAGAATAGATATTTTAACAGATGAAATTCCCGTGTACATGATTGAATGTGCTAATATACAGGTAGGTATTATCATGGTGAGGTGTAATTTTAACAATGAGAATCATGAAAAATAAAATTTGTAAAAGGGTACGTGTTGAGTATTTTTTTACAAATTTAGTTGTCGCAATTATAATATTTCTACACTATAATAAATACAAATTATTTTTGTAAATGAATTACTATTGTTCTATTAAGTAAGGTCTGAAAAATTAAATAGTTTTACTAAATTTGTGCACCAATTGTAGGCATAGAGTTACTTAGTGCACTCATTTATAAGTTCCCAATTATTTTACTAATGTATTTTTCACTAATTGTTTTTTACAATGATTTTCTAGCCAAATTATCACGATTGACACAATACAAATAATAAAACAACACTATGAATTGAAATAAAATAACAACTTTACACTTTATTCGCCGAACCCGTTGTCATAAATTAAATGCTGAAAAATGACTTTAATTACGGAACAGAAATTACAAGCTTTAATTTGCACTGGGTTGTTTTAGTTCCGAATAAATGCGAAATGTGATAGCGCGAGCTCTAAAGTATGCAAAGCGGGCACCAACAATTATTCACCCCCACAATTTACTGGCTGAGGGTGGGAATAGGAGGAATGGAAGGCAGCAATCTGGCCTAATTGCCTCGCGTGTTACTCTCGACTCAGTGAATTAGTCAAAGAACACATTTCAGGGCAAACATTGTTATACAGGGTGTGATTAAACCAGGAATGTATTCATTACTTGTGTTGGCACAGTCGACAAGTATGAGTTTTAATTAAAATATTTTCACGAGAATAATTTCATACGAGGGAAAATTGGCTAGCTGTGTGTGGATGTTGAATTTGTGGATAACAACGAAATATAAATTTCAATATTTTATGCTCAAATTAAAGTGATGATTGAGGGGTTTGAATGGGATATTATTGCTTTAAAATATCAAAATTAAATACAAAAATTTAATTTTAAAATAAATTAAAGTTCTAGATAGTCTATGTATTTGAGACTACATATGTATAAAATATTAATAGCATATCCATTAAAAATTATCTGTTTATTAAAGTTTTGGAGAACATAGAAAAAAAACAACTTATTAGGATGTATAAAATTTAAATATTTAATATAGAAATTGAGAGAAAAACAATGAAAGACATTTTATAAAACTGATATAAGAAAACACATTCTAAAATGAAGTCAATAACTCAAAAAGCTCATGGAACAAATAAATGAAAAAAATATTTCCAAAACAAACCATAAAATGTTTAATAAATTAAGTTAGGAAAAATTGCAAGGACTAAAACTATAAATTACTTATCTAAACAGCTAATAACAAAAAAAACTACAAAAACAAACAAAAAATAAAATAAAAATAATTTAATATAATTATTTTTTGTGAGTAAAATTGCATGGAGTGAAAACAACACAAATGTAGCAAATCATTTACAAATACAGGTGTATAAATTAAACACTACAGTAAAAATAAAAATAAAATAAACAAACACACGCTAAAAGTCATTAAAAAGGTTACAGATAAATATAAAACAATACATTGAAGTTTAGAGAGGAAAAAGAAATGTATAATATTTAAAACAATGATCGTCAATATTTAGGTTTTTCAAGTTAATTTGTTAATACAAAAAAAACCGTCAAGTTAATCACCTTCCTTGAGTTACACTAGATTTTGAGAGCGAGAGAATCTAAAATAAAATTGCAGGAAAATGAGACAAAATTACACAAGTTATTACAGTAAGTAACCTACCCTCCTTGAGTTGCACTGGATATAGACAGTGTGAAGATGCTGTTAGTGTAGCCATCACAGTTGCAAGAGTCTGTATGTCTGCCTCCATTGCCTGATGCCCACACAAATATTGAGCCTTTGCCTCTCCTGCCCTGTAATAGGAACACTAATTAGTGAGCCTTGTAAATCAAATACTCTTGAATTAGTTCCAAAATGAGTAACTATTTTTCAATAGTGTTAAAAGTGCTTAAAAGTTTGTGTGAAAATATAAAATCGTTCATTATTACTTAGCCTATGATCTTTATTTATATCCCGAAAAGTTAAAAGCAACTAATTTCGAACGGAAAGAAACACGACCCAACTTAGGTTCCAAGTCACAAAACGTAAACTTAAATATAGGAATTGTTACATGAAAATTCCAGTTTGAATAATTTCAAGTACACTGAATTACCTTCAAGCTCACCACCCAAACTTGAAAGCGAAATTCAAGATATATTCACGGTTAAATTTGCACTTGCATGTTAGAATCAAGCTTAATTCATGTCACCCTTGAATAATGATATCTGAACAAACGTTCTTTAAAACGTACTATTATGTTAATGAATCTTAGGATTTTCATAAATTTAACAAACGATAGAAAAATGAAGATAACAAACTGAACTTATTATAAAGTACTATCTTCAGCAAAACACAAGAAACACAAATAGAGGTGTATACATTCGTTGGAATCCTCTGCAGAAATCCAATCAATTCTCACATCAAGATGATCAACTCACACTGGTGACTCCGTTGATGAAGGCTCGTCGCGCCAGAGGTCCAGGACCGTCCACAGTCTTGCCGTCGTCCTCTGGACCCCAGGAGGCGCTGTAGATGTCCACGTGGTCGGGGTTGAGACCGAGGGCTCTGGCCTCCACGGCGTCGTTGACTGTCCCATCCAGCATCCTCACACCTGTCAACACAACAAGGGTGTAGAAACATGACGTTGGTCCATCCAGGCAATGTTACTATGGGTATGTAGATTAGATAGGGGTTTGAAAATAGAATATAAGGGGGAAGTAGTTGAAACTATCCTCGATAAAAAGGCTATACTTAGCAAAGTTTTCTGAAAGTCTAAGCCATTGGGGTGTGAAGAGCTTCCGACTGTTAACTGTTACTTTTTTACTCATCAGGTACCAAGGTAGACAGTGAGTAAGAGAATGTATGTATAATGAAAAATAGTGATTTTGTATTCTATGACCTCTAAAGCTAAAAAGAAAAAAAATATTCTTATGTTTTACAATAGCGATAATGTTATTAGCCAGGGTAACAGCTATTTCTCTATATAAAATATATTTCCTAAATGAAAAGCAATTACTTTCATCACGTATTGAGACTTAAAACAAATAAAAAAACTATTTTAACTTCAGTAGTTATAAGTATGAACAAAGGTGTACATTCTAAGATTGTAAAAATATTATTGAGAATAGATGTAATAAATGGAAAGACTAAATTAAGATAATACATATGAACAACCAATTAAAATAAAAACAGTTTAAAGTTACCCTCAAGTTTAACCAACACAAAAAACAATAAAAACAAACGAAAAACACAAATAAAACATTGAATAAAAAAAAAATAACAACACCAAAGTAAAAAAGAGAGAGAAAAACTAATAATAAAAAACACAAATAAAACAAAACAAATTAAAACGAAAAAATACAAAAATACTGCTACGAAAACAAACAGATACGTGACAACTAGAATAAAAGACATAAAAAAATCTAATAAGTTTAAAAAAAATAAACAAAGGCGAGGCTAACCTCCAATGCTGGCGTTAAAAGCCACCCCGATGCCGCAGTAGTTGTTGAAGGCGACGGCGGCCACCTCGCCAGCACACCTGGTGCCGTGCTTGTTGTCTCCGTTGTCACGAGGCATGGGGTCGTTGTCGTTGTCATTGATGTCTGTACTGGCCTCGCTGTCCTGCAACGTGCACACAGACAACGTCAAAACTCGTCTAAGTAATATACGTAGCAACGGAAATGAAAAAATATCTTCACAGAATAAATGTAGGAGAATAAAAATATTCGAAAAAAGCCCCCTCTTAATAATCAACGCAATAAGGAAGTATACTATACAAAACAAAGATAAATGTTTCCTTTGTAACATTGAAGGACGTTTACACTAAAGGAAAATCACGTTTTCAAACTAAGGAATGCTTAAACATCAAAGAACAAGGAAAATCACATCGCATCGCGTTTCTACACACATATTTGTCACTAATAAATTGAATCAAAGCTTCATTGTTCGACCTACAAAGTTGACGTTAACAATCTGATATTTTGCCAAACATTTGTGAAACAATGTGATGTGGCAGCATTGTTTCGCATTCAGATGAAACATTACGTTATGGTACATAGTTGATTGTTGGTATGAACACGATCTACGATTGCGGATTCTTTATTTGGGTATTCCATAGCTTGAGTACCCTTCATAATCTTCTTCTCTGCTTATGAACTCGATCACTGCGCATCTATCGGTCAAAAATCGTACCACTAACAAGGCATGCCCTGCCACTATGAAAAAAAGAATACTATAAGAATATAAACTATAAGAATACTACTTCTATATGTTGTGAAACTTACATAGTTGAAAGCAAGGTCGGGATGGTTGGTCTGTATCCCGTCGTCCAGGATAGAAACGACAACCCCCTTGCCTGTGTAACCCTTCTGCCATGCTGGGCTGATGTTCATGTCGTAGCCATCCTTAGCGCCGCCGTTCTAAACACACATAAAACAATACATAGCTTCTGTAGTTATAAGTCACTAACTAATGCGCTAAATACACATAATGCACATAATGTACATGTAGATACAGTTCTATTGGTACTGTATATGAATTAAACATTTGACATTGTAATTTTCTTTTCTGAAAACTGAAACATTAATGAACAATATGGTTATTAACGACTCATTTTTCAAAGTAATTGTTTAATGCCTTAAAAATATAAAAGTAGTAGAACTCTATATTTAGTGGCAACAAGTTTAGATTAAATTATTACTATGACCAATTCTTGATGAGAGAGAGGATATAGAAGATATAACCTAGAGTATGGACATTCTACACATAAGAGGACATGCCATTCAAGTGTCAAAGGTGTAGCCAGTTTTAATAATTAAGAACTTAGGACTGAACCACTGACAGCGTGTAAAAGGAGTTTTCTTTCTTACCTCGCCTAACCTTTAGAGCGTGACAAAATATTTTTAAGGAACACGTAAACAAATAATATGGAAAACAAAAAAGTAAAATGCAACAGAACCGCGCACTGTGAAAAAGACGTTCAAGTGTGTTCTCTTCAAATAAATAAACTGGATGAATTTGGTTCGTATGAATGGGATGTCTACTTCAGCAGCTTATGGCAACTAAGTACTTACCAGGTACCACTGCTCCTTGAACAGAGGGTCCGGGAAGATGTTCTGAGCGCCAATTCCCCGATATCTGTTGTGGTGTTGAGACCCCAGCTGTTGTACGCTTGCGGGGGGAAACAGATTTTGGAAATCCCCGAAACCCGGGAAATTAGGGTCGGAAAAATCCCTTTTGACTCGCTTCTTCTCATGCTGCTGCTGAAACCACTTGACCTGGAAATTGTCGACAGTTCGATAAAAACAAAATGCAGTGCAATGCTTGGAAAACATAGGTTAATTTTCAGATGCAGCTTCAGGTCTAAACAAAATAAAATGGTGTTACTTAGCATACAATGTTACAAATAACACCGCTACCATTTACAGATTTATCAGTATCTATTTCAGATGGCTTTTATTGTCTGCCACCAAAAAAGTGAGTGAACACCAAATACAAAGCACAATGTAGCAGCCTAAAATAATAAGTGTATTTAGAACATACAGTTCACATAATGACAATGTATACGAGCCTTAAAGCTTAGTTGAAAAACAAATTCCAATTCCATTAAGTTATTTATTCCACAACATCATTGTTCGTGAGAGCCCCTTGATGACTAGCACGTTTTTAATCACTTGTACGCAATCTTTGACGGTACAGGCGTATATAAGAAGTCAATAATATAGAATGTCTGCTTTCATTATCTCTTTGGCGTTTGAACCGTAGGATTACTATAGTCATTTGGCATATGAGAAATATCAAATTAGTCCCTTAGTATCAGTTGGTTGGTCAATTTCCAACTTTGTAGCGATGTACTCCAAATTTACCTTTACTCTGGGCTTTCATTAGGAAGATACAATTCAGCTTACAGCTTGCCTCACCACGATCAGGCTGGTACATTCAAAGCCAGATTGGGGTTAAACTCAGCATCAGGGGGAATTATTCCACTGGTTTCACCCATTCGAACACCTGTTGGCGCATCAGTGCACGAACAATAGCGGTTGTATTCGATACACAGGTAAAGTGCGGTAAGAGAAAACCAATTAACACAGACTGAACAGAATGTAAAAAGTAGATCCTATGAAAGGCTCCCTTAACATTACTTTTTTTTAAATCACAATGTTATTTAAACGTGTTTTCTTCAGTATACGTGTGCAAAACAAAACACTAAGAATTTCTAAATTATTGCGGCATTCACGCGGTTCTACTAATGATCATAGAGAAATATAAGTAAAAATTTACCAATGAACCAAAAGTTATATATATTTTATCAAGCGACAAACAGATAACTTAAATATTTTAGATCGATTCAAATATTTATCAATAAACATTGCCAAGTAAACAATCTATTTATCAAAAGTAAATGCATTTTTATTTAACTATATTGAATAAAACATAGACGCCTGAACAAATATTTTACTATTGTCTCCTATTTGGATGGAGTTTTAATAAAATGCAAGTTGTAGTTGAACTGACCAAAATATTTTTATATCAAATTAAATCATATTAATGTTTTGTTAATGCTTATTACGAACCATAAAAACAACAAAAAACAACATTATCATATTATTAAATGTAGCCCAAACAAAACAATGTACAATGCACTAATGCAGCCGGTCAATGAGTATAAACAGTTTACAGCTGCGGGGCAACAACAATGTTTATAGAGTGCAAGATTAACTATTTGTGTTGCAGCCAAAAGCCATGTGTTATCTCTAAAACCAGAACATTTCCACAAATAACATCGCCAACGCCGTCACTTGTAAGCTGTGTTTATCTGTTTACACTGTAGCAGCGTTAACTGACGCTTGACACGGTGCACTAGAAAGATTACAACTACACAAGGGGACTTTGCACTAGGACTAGAGCTTAACATGGGATTGTTCAAGATCATTGCAAAGGTTCTCTGTATGGACCACTTTGTTGTTTAAGTTCATTAAGTGTCTCTCTGTAACAACAATGTTGCTGTGTGGCTCTCTGTATCAACAATGTTGTTGTTGAAGTTAATTAAGTGGCTCTCTGTATCAACAATGTTGTTGTTAAAGTTAATTAAGTAGCTCTCTGTATCAACAATGTTGTTGTTAAAGTTAATTAAGTAGCTCTCTGTATCAACAATGTTGTTGTTGAAGTTAATTAAGTGGCTCTCTGTATCAACAATGTTGTTGTTAAAGTTAATTAAGTAGCTCTCTGTATCAACAATGTTGTTGTTAAAGTTAATTAAGTAGCTCTCTGTATCAACAATGTTGTTGTTAAAGTTAATTAAGTAGCTCTCTGTATCAACAATGTTGTTGTTGAAGTTAATTGAGTGGCTTCTCTGTATCAACAATGTTGTTGAAGTTAATTAAGTGGCTCTCTGTCTCAACAATGTTGTTATTGAAGTTAATTAAGTGGCTCTCTGTATCAACAATGTTGTCGAAGAAGTTAATTAAGTGACTCTCTTTATGATGATTTTGCTGTTGAAGTTCATTAAGTGGCTCTCTTTTTCGTCATTCTTGTTATCATTATAATACCTTTTGCATCTACAAGGTTGTTAGTATTTCATCTAGAGGCTCCAGATCTGTAAATTGAACATGTTGATAGGATTCATCAAGAGACTCTCTCAATAACAATGTCAATCAATAATAATGCTATAGTTCATACGGAAATTAAGACTATTTATTAGGTAGCTTATTTCACGTGTTTAGACTATTTCATAACTAAGAACATAAACCTCACCAAGAGGTCCTTGAAACAATCACTTGAAAAAAATGCAATCGTACAATGATTAACCTGCAATACACAAGAAAATGATTAGTCACACTCACAGATTACAAAGTATCTTCACAAACAACAAATGTTACACACAATGACCACACAACAGAACACACAAAGATGAGGTAAAATCTGACCTTTTCTTCGTTGGAGAGTTTCTCGTGGTGTTCCTCACTGTGAATTAAGGACCTCTTGCGTATCCTGGAGTGTTCCAACAGGTAGTAACCCTTCAGTGAACTGATCTGCAACACAACAAAATACTTTTACACAAACGTTCTAGATTTTACAGCCTGTGGCACTATAGTAATTTGTATCATTGCATTGCAATTGTGTAATTAAAATTAAAAGTGATTGATGTCACTAAGCGCTCCGTCTAGAAACTAATAAAAAAAATACTTCTTGAGGATCATGTTCCTTTCTAACAGTCGAACAAACACAAATTAACATACCACGATAAAAAATGTTAATGTGATAAAAACTGAGAAAATAACATAACGTTTCTTTTGCTTCTCTTTACATTCTGTCACACACATACTTATTGCTATAATCACGTCTATTGCACGCTATGCCGCCACGCCATGACCATCCGGTTGAGGTAATATGCTTTCAGGTAGTATTTTTGAGTTCATATTCATATTAGATGATCATGAAAAATAAGATTATTTTACATACTAAGGATTCTTTATCTATACTATCAATACTACTATATTTACTACTGTACTATATATATTTTTATGATAGTAAAAATCAAAATTCTTTTTACAAAGTGGCAAACCGGTACATGAACAAATTTTAGAGTTGTTTAGCCATGAATCCATCTCGGCTGGAAACATTTTACAGCGAGACAGTAGGACGATCATACAATAAATTTTATGCGAAATCCAGGTACCAGGTTAAATAAAGAAAATATTATAAGAAAGCTCCAAAATTGAATAAACCGACCATTATTAACCGGCTCATTGAACTATTCAAGGGAAGACCATTGTAATTCACTCTTATGTTTCTTATCATCATTTATGTTTCAGAAAATGTCATTGATTTCTGTTTATTGCACTCACAGACCTTTGCACAGGACTGTGAAATTGCACAGGACTACTATAAAAAGTTTTTCATTTGAAAAATTTGTTATCGAGACACATATTGACCAGCAAGTAAGTAGTTTCTAGAAATTGTCAGTAATTAACCAAACCATTCCTTAAAATGACTAATAGCTTTCTCACATTGCGTCAAAGATGTGACAAAATAAATATATTTTCCCAATAAGTTAAAATTACGAATAGGTCTTTAAACTTTGGAAACCATAGGATTATGCTTAAATTGTTTCCACAACTTGTGGACAGAGCGTGCAAACTAATGAATATTTATTTCAAACCGCGTTTACGAATATTGAGACGAATTGTTAAGTGTTGGACAGTTAACGTTTAAGACCATTAGTTAGACCAATTTACACGTGGCCCCCTTAGTCCTTGCACGTGCACATAACACTGTTAAATACTTCCAGTTAACTTGCATCTGCTAATTAATATTGCATCAATAGTCAAAGCTAATATGCTACCTGCTTACACCTGTGTGTAGTTATGAGTATCGGGTGAGTGTATAAAGGTAACATAAGTCTCTCAAGGTTTTAGACTCAATGTCAGACGGGCGGGTCCAAGAAACTCAAGGTTTAAGATCTAGTTTTTTAAACATGTGACATAGTGGTCTATAAATACTGACTTTTGCTCGTATTTCAGCTTCCAAGTTAATGTGTAATCAACTTATAGTAAAATGGAGATACAAAATCAAATAGATGAATAATTTGTATTGAAAATGTCTTTTTTCTTGATCAGCATTGTACGTGTTATTAAATTTACAGAAAGTAAATAAAAGAAACGTCTAATAACAATTAAAACACATATTTACGCTTATGCTGTTACTCACAAGACGGTAAATATACATAAAAGATGGTAAGTGGTGATCGATTTCGATTGGGCACTCCAATCATCATCAGACCCAATAGGCGAATGACATTCGCATTTTTGGATGATTAACATCTAAATCATCCAAAGTCTTTATGGTGTTAACAAGCCTACAACTACAAGTACACACAACAAAATTCTATTGATGTGAGATGTAAGATTATAGCCGTTAAGATTCGCTACACAGCTTTTAGTAAAATGAGGCGCTTATCTAATGTTTAGAATTGGATGAAATGATGAATTGATTACGTCCGACACTGTGTGGTAAATTGGCCAATATTTTAAAGCTCTTTCTCTTTCTCTTCTTTCTCCAACTTAGTCATCTTCGATCAATCATTTGTAAAGCCTGGTTAAGACTAGTAAAGTAAAGTTTTGTCACGTTGTTGCTTAAGTGTTGCACTAGTACATGTACAAAGAGTGAAATCTTTATTGTTGTTGTAAAAAAATTCTAGATACCCACAATTATATTCAAAAAACAGCTTTTAACTTTAAACAAATAGCGGAAAAACATTGGAATTAAATAACGTCCACTATCACATGTTTTCGATGTGGGTTTCATTAGTCTACGCCGGTGGCGTTTGAAAGAAATTAACTCAAACGCGTTTTCCAGGATAGCGGTAACGGGTCTCAAATGTATGTGAAAACGCTCTTGCACCGTCGCAAGCCAGGGGATGCAAACCACCAACCCGTCAAAATTTAGTTGTTTTATAAAATATCCAAGATTATAAACACGAGTTCTAGTGTGTTATGGACATTATGTCCAGTACAGCAACATTGGTTGTCATAGAGATACTGCATTAGCGACATGTTCAACGTTCAATAACAGACACACGCGCCGTGCAACGTTCAAAGAAACATGGTTTACAACATATCTGCAAAGCATTGTATTATGCCTATGAGCTCTTGAATCCTGAAAGCAAAAGGCATCTGTTCTGGGAATAAATTCTATTCGGTTCCTTTGAACCCAATGCCTCCTTTCATTCTGGTAGGAATTGAGAATTAGGTAAATTAATTTGAACGTTACGCAATTATTTTATAGACATGATATATTTATTTACATTTATATTATTTATCGATATAAAACTATATCCACTCTTCTCAAATCATGTATGGGCACGGTAAATTATAATTAGGGAGAATTGCAGACAAGAAGTTAAAAGTAATCAAATATTTTATTATTTACATTAATATTACTACTGTAAACAATTTAATACCATCGAAAAAATATTTTAAACTATTCATGTTTACAATGTACACCACTACAATGGATAACATGCAATTGTTTGTTTACCTCCGGATTAGTCCAGTTAATGAATGTTGTTTGTAAGCATTTAAACAACAAACATGTTGTTGCAATATTTACTGCATTAACATTATGAGTAGCTCCGAAAATGCAGGTAATTTTAAAGACTAACAGTGTTTTGTATTATGTAGTGATATGTTTTACAACAATAATTCGCAGACAGGATTTAAAAGGAAATTATGTAGTTATTAAAGGATTCTTTTTAATTGCATTTAATTTCTATAATATTACAAAACATAACTATTTAACTTGAATTAGGTAAAATAGAAAGCAATATGAACACAAAAATGTTATCCTTTGAGATAAAGATAAAAGACTGCTGTACATAATGTAACTAAATAACTATTATTCTTTTGAACATAACTTAGCAGATATTTACTATTTACCTGTACAGTTATATTGTATTACTTGTAAACATACAATTTTGACTTGCGAATCTCTAAAAAAACTAAGGTAATTTAGGTCATATGGAGGTAAATAACAATTGATAACCTTTTTTCAAATTAATAGAACTTTTAATGCTATAAAAAAAAACTCGCACATTGAATCGAGTACTAATTTTGAGCAGACACAGTATCAATTCCTTTGTACAGGAGGAACCTTTAAAGGATATTTTCCAAAAAGAACAGAAATCATTTTAATTTACAATTTATTGTGAGGTCTCCAAACCATATTACTGTGTCTTTAAGGTTAACGACAAAAAATACGGCTTGACTTAACTTTTATAAAAGAAAAACTTTATACTTCACGGTAATTATAATCTCTAACAATAAAAAACAACATACAGCATAGTACATTGTGGACAGTGATTCTGTGTCACGAGTTTGAGCAGACAACGTTATCGATTCCTTTGTCCGAGCTCTCGACAGTTTGAGCAGCAAGTTGCGATGGTAATGACGATAAACGAAGGACCAAGTCAGAGTTACCGATGACACCGGATTAAATTACGTCTCTCGGGAAACTTTGAAAAGTTCAGCGACCCCGAGATAATTTAATTACGCTCTTCTTTTGCAAACTAAGGACAAACTTTGCTGCGGTTTGTTCTCCATTGTCTGCAAACACTGTGGCGAGCACGAGGTGTGAATTTGGCGGGAAAGGGGACCAGTGGTTTGGCGGGAAAGGGGACCAGTGGTTTGTTTATAACTACACATTCACTGATCTGAGTTGACGCATTGGATCCACAGAGGTATAAATTATAGCTGTATCTACCAGAGTGAATCAGGTCAATTTTAGAACAACACGTTTCGAAAATAAAGTTTACACGAGTTATTTTATTGTATGGCTAAATGAGTCGCTATGGGTTTCGCCATTAAATTAAAAGTTAAATTTTTCAATTCCAAGTAGGGTCGGGTCTGAACGTTGTATTTTTGAAGGGTTTAATAAAGCCAAGATAAAGGCGCCCCCTTATGACAAGGTGAAAACTATGAACGGCGTTAAAACGTGTGAAATAAAATATTTAAACAGCATAGGTCCGTATGAGAGTGATGTTAATAATCTTCAGCACATTCAATAAAAAATACAATGTATATAATAAGAATATGTTACCTCGGGTGTGACCTGAGCCACGTTAAATATCAATTTTACGTAATGGGTTCCTGTCGTCGCATGACAAACTCACATAAGCTAAAATTGCCTGAAGCTGTTGTGGCAGACAAACACGTCCCAGTTAACACGAGGCTGATCAACACTGAATAACGACGATCCTAGGTGTGTATAGAGCCTGACTTGACACTGTACATCAGCCAATATTGTCTGTAGACGTTGTTGTGGCAGACAAACACGTCCCAGTTAACACGAGGCTCATCAACACTGCTGAATAACGATGATCATAGGTGTGTATAGAGCCTGACTTGACACTGTACATCAGCCAATATTGTCTGTAGACGTTGTTGTGGCAGACAAACACGTCCCAGTTAACACGAGGCTGATCAACACTGAATAACGATGAACCTAGGTGTGTATAGAGCCTGACTAGACACTG